TCGGCAAGAAAGCCGAAATTAACTTCCTCAGCAGGACTGGGAGCCTTCTGACATGCTCCCGGCAGGTTTAATTTGGAATTGTAGGCTAAAATTGGGAAAAAGAGCTCCTCCGAATGCAAAAGCGCGTGGTGCTCCAACAGGTACTCTCGAAGTGGCGCCACAGCTTGGCCAAACAGGGCGTTCTCCAAAAATTCTCGTCTGTAAGCTCCGTGGAGGGAACCGCGGTACCAGGTGGCCTGCGATTAAAGAGACGCATGAACAATTTAATTTGGTAATCCAAATTTGCCCAGCGGCAAGACAGGAGACCCCCAGTTTTATGGAAAACTAACGCCTGTCATGTCAACAGTTCAACGTTGATTGAAAGAACAAGCGGTTTGATTAAATGAAAGTGAAGGGCTTGTCATTAAATCGTATGTGCTCTGGATGATCTATAGTGGTCGTCCGATACTACTTAAATGGGACGAGCTAATCATTGTATGAACGGGAAAGGAAAAATCCCCAACGAGTTGCTACTCAAAGACAACGTAAAATGGAAGTTGATATTTTACTCACAAACGAGCTATTTAGCATTCACCAAGACCTCTGTAAGGGCGATTGACCTGTAAATTCGACCCCTGTTCAACGTAAATTGCAACTTTAAAATGCCAAAAGTAGGTGCATGAGCATTGAAATACTGCAAAATCTACTTGGTAAAATCCAACGTTACTGATGTAATCTCACACCACTGAATTAATCGTGCAAACGTTGACAAGGACACCTCGAGGTGGTGGTAGGTGGGCGTGGGGGCGGTGGTACTTAAAAAAAGTAGCAAGTGGAATGCACCAGTCACATCGAAACTGTGAAACGGCTTCATGTAGCGCATCACAATTTCTTCTTGTTAAAAGGGTGGATTGTCTACTATTGCTTTTGCACTAAAGAATGCATTTTTGGATGGTGAAACGAGAGGAGTTGCCGCCTCCATGTAGACAAACATACGTTCCCCATCGACAAGTAAACAGTCGTGTATCACAAAATAGGGATTGTTAACTTGTCGGCAAGGTGAAAAGCAGGATAAGCAACAAACCGACTCACCTCCAAGGGCAGACTTTTGTTTCCCACCAACGAATCGCGGCTAGGCGTTGAAAAGGACTCCACTAGATTGGCTCCATTCAGAGCTTGCAAGATGGACACAGTTTCCAAATTCGTTCTTAGGGGAAATTCATCGTCGTCGATGTTGATTAAGTATTTCCACTTGCCATTGCGACGTAAGGCTTGTTCGGCACAGGCTAAATGTGCCTTTAGAACGCCTTCGCCACTACGTATAAGTGCGATGCTGGAATTTGTGGGAACCAACTCAACATTGTTATCGAAACAGGTAATTAAGCCCTTCATCGCCGCTTGGAGAGCGTGGTCAGCGTCCCGATTCAAGTGGATGCAGTAGTAGTTGTTCGTGCGGTAGATCATTCGCATGATTCGAGCCACTGGTCGTATGTCATCGTAAACTGCTATGGTGACAGCAATGTCTATGACACCATCACGATCTCGTTTGATAGGAAAACGATCCCGATAGAGGCGACAATTCTTATGCTCGGGTGAATCAATGGATCCGAAGAAGGCGAGGGCCACGCCCTTTTCATAGCCACCGATGTCAGCCGCGCTAAATGCAACCATTGAGGAGACAAGTTTTCGGAAGGGCGTTTGGAATGCGTAGTACCACAGTGCAACCAACGACCCCACTATCAACAGTGCCACAAGTATCCGAAGTGGCAAACGATACGCAGTGCTAATCTCTCCAATTTTTGTGACCATGAGTCTGCAGATGAGAGATTGAGTGAGTGTTAGATCAAAAAAAAAAGAGAAGAAAAAACGAATTGAATCGCATATCTTTGTCTACACCACAGAAAACGGAATCAAAGCCGTTGACTCATTTCCATCTCTCTTCTCCACAGCGTGAGACAAAGCCCAAAGGCGGCTGCCAATGGGAGAAATTACAAAGTAATGCGTGAAAGAGAAGTCCTTTATCACGACAAAAGGCATGGAGGCAAGTTGACAGCAGTGCTTAGCGCTACATCACCACTAAAATTACATCATGTTTTCTACTTTTAATGACAAGAGAAAGAATTTGGAGCCTAAGATTAAGAATTATCAAAAAAAAAACTTTCCAAGGCAGAAATTTTGTTGTTTTCATATGCATTAAGCCAGTTTATGCTAAACTCACCTAGTTGCCTGCTCACATATGAGCAAATTTGCCCTTTATACTGCTGCGCCAAAATAGAGTGCTTGAATGTGTGTTAAACTTCACATCCCCAAGGCCATTGTGAGACACGCCTAACTTCGATGATGACGCGCACACCACACAATGCCATTGGCAGTAGGCAAGGCATTTTATGAGTCAACGATTAGCAGTAGAAACACAATCCTATTATTTTGCCTCAAAATTCACCTCTACTGATGATGTTGATCAACAGAGGAATGTTTTCATAAACACTCCCAACTCTAAAGATGGGGTTGATTCTCTTCACACTTATTTAACTTTAACTCTGATAAACAACAATAATAAGCTCTCTACTTAAATAAAATAAGTAGATGCTATTTAAAAATAAATCAATTAAAGGTTAAAATGAAACTTGCTTATCCTCATTTTTTTGCCCCTGTGAGCTTTCATGCGGTAATTATTGCGGTAAATTAAGAAGG